CCAATCGCTCTCAATTCGATTGTCGGCAAAACGGTATCTTACACTACAGTCACTTGGGTAATAGAATAAAAAATTATACAAAAGTTGTAATAGTAATGCAAAATAACCATTGAGTGGAAATTTAGAAAAAAGTCAAACATCGCGATATGTAGTCTGGGACGAATATGGTGCTCATCAAAGCGCGTCAAAACGCGACGTCCGCTATATTCTAAAATTTGCAGCTGGTACACCCAGGAGTAAGACGAAAATTTGTAAAACTTTGGAAAAAGAGATTGAAAATATATGAGAAAATTTCCAGATTAAATTATTTATTTGGCGAGTTGATAAATTAACTGAATATACTGCCTACCATGACAAAAAATGAACTAACATAAGCTATTTAGAAATTTGCCAGCAATTCGTTATATGTTGTTAAAAAGATACTTGTCATTTTATTGAGTTTTTTAATTTCACTATTTTTCAATAATTTCTACATGGTTTAGTTACATGTTAGATCTCCTAGAGAAATCAATAAATGTTAGAAAAGTGGAAGCATTTGTCGTAGTTGGATACATCACTAATTTTTATCCGTCAGGGAAACCATTGGATCTCAACAAAACAACAAAAATTTGATTATGCGTTGAAATAAAAAAAATATAAATAACAAAATATTAAATTAAAATTTAAAACAATATCGGCCAATTACGATAAGTTATGCAAAATTGTTTCTAGTTTGTGTTAGGTTTCTTAAAAAATGTTTTCCAGAGATCATGTTCTACAAATTGGGTGCAGCTCTCCCACTATGTGTTTTAACACTTCTTGTAGATCGTGTTGGCAGATAGGTGCCGAATATTATCGTGTCACAGTCGAAGGACTACAACAACGTGTGTAATAATAAAAATAGCTTCGTTATTACATAGTTTTGAATATCATCGTATTTGATTCGAAGATTTATTGGAGTGAATGCAAATGCTATAGGCAGCTACTTGACTTTGATCCATATTCTACAACTTGTATAGTTTTTAAATAAATGGTGCAATATAGGTCAATTTTCATATTTTAATTCTATATTTGTGCAATGATAGGAATTACATTCTTAAAATCCAAGGAATAAAAAAAGAATCCTAATAAGTTTATTTGGATCTCTCCACAAACGTAGCATATATACCTACTTGCTATCTATTTTGTGAAAAAAAGCAAAATGTTGAAAGAAGCTATATTCAATTTGTCGTAATTTTGTATAACCACAACAAAAGATCACACATTTCCAAGCGAATAGAATCAATCGTACATAATTATCGAGCAGTCACCTTCAATTTCTCACAACCACCTCAGTAACGCGCATCTTTCTAGAATTACCATCATGATTAATGTCTATGCGAGCATGTTAAATCAGCAAAGAAGTGCTAGAATAAATGTATTTATTGTTATTTATGTGCAAAAAGAAGATTACAGAATCTGCAAAGTAACAGTACAATGCCGTAATATCACGAGTACCTACTACTATCAGAGAAAAATGATCACGAACAATAAAATTATCGACATTAGCATTTGTATCCAAGAATAATTATAACTTTATTATAATAGTCAGATAACCGCAATGTCGGCTTTTTATCGTGATAATCAGGACAAGTAGCTTGTAACAGTAAAATTGGTAAAAAATAGCTTGACATTAAAAAAGTACTTAAATATAATAATGTTTATCATAACACTTAAAACAGCTAATACTTTGATGATCAGTTTAATTGATTCTGGTTATAGAAACCAAATAATTACCAGTAAAAATATTTTTTATGAAAATGTATGACACTTGAAACCTTGAACTATATTGTTATTGTGATTACAATTTATTTAATATTAGTAATTTATTTGTTTTTTTTTAATTTAAAATTTTCAACAAAAAGCATTTTGAAACAACTCAGATGTATGAAGTTATTTAAAAAAAATCAGAAATTTTATGATTTGAAAAATAAGTTGTATATTATCAATTGTATCAACAGGAGTTTGGTATCTTTTACCTTTATTGTAAAATTGAGTTTTAATAAAGGAGCCACATATTTTCAATGATATGTCAGCCTGATTTTAGTTTCAATGATGAAGTAGAAAAATGAAAATTGGAACATCATATTTTCATAGAATTTTTTTTAAAGGAGCAGTGAAATCTTTCACATACAACACTAGAGTTGATTTAATATAGCAATACTCTCACATAAACTGCTAAAATCATTTTCTTGAAAAAAATAAAATATGTAGATCATAAAGTTCTTTGCGAATTATAGTTAATAGAAAATTTTCCGTCGAGTAGCAAAGTTTTAATGTTAATAAAAACTTTAAAAATTTGTGTTGTTTTTCTAGTATGTATGTGAAATTGTATATTGTTAAGACAATTAGATTAAAAAATGCTTTAATAGCTTCTTCTATCTTCATAATTTTTTGAAATTATATAAGAGATGCTGAATGCTGACACATATCGAGTGTCGAAACCTATTTTTATTAGTTCGATAAATTATATATATATATAATATATATATTCAATAGATAAGTCCTGGATTTTTAAATATATTGATTGTTTCTTTTCCGAACAGTAAATCCAATAATAAAAAAAAATTGTTTTTTTGAAGATGTTTTAATACGACGTTTCGGAAACTAGGTACGTTCCATCATCAGGTTTATTCTGTCAAATACAATGTTTTTTAAAATACTGATTAACATTAATTAACAATGGTCAATACAGATTAATTAGAAAAAATTTTGTTATAAAGGAATGGATTATGTACCGGATAGATAGTAATAAGACTTAACTAAAAAAGGTTTATATAAAATTGAGAAGCAAAAATTATTTACCTGTAATAATTTATATATCCATATCACTAATTATTTTTTTTGTTAAAAACACTCGATTTTTTTGGAAGATATTGTAGATGTTACGACTACACAAGACTTAAACACACTGATATGGATTTCTGTCTGCCAGATGTAAAGGACAAAGCAACGGAACTCTTGGCAAAAATGATTTTTTATGGCTCTTGTTTGGTAATTTACGAAAAAAGGAAAAATATTGCTTTAGTAAATGTTGAGAATATATGTATATATATATATATATATATATATACATACATATACATGAACATGTATATGCACACCTACATACTCATACATACATATGCACATATCTATATATTAATGTATCCACAATTATACACATGAACACATATGCAAGTGTATGTGTATAGTGTATACCCAAAAACATACATATAAGCATATATATGGATGTAATATATTATAACATTATATACATGGTATATATATACACATATTCAAAAACTATTAGGATTAATTATTTTTAATCAGGTTTAAAAATTTAAATATGAGTCATGAATGATATTGTGATCTGATCTTTTATAACACTTTTTGACGAATTCAAAAAGATTAAACTGCTTTCAGAAAAAAGTCTTTTAAAAGTACAATCCTCTCTATATAAAATATTGGGTTCAAAGGTGAAATTATGTGAGTTTTCGATGGAATGCTGAACAAGAGTACTTTGGAAATTTCGGCTTTTATGATGAGTGACGCTTAATCATGTCTGTCTGTCTCATCTCTTATGAATGGTACTGTGATGTTTGGCCAATGTATTGTTTTTGACAATTTTTGCAAGGGATGGAAATAAAACTATGTTAGTATTGAATTTAGGAGGGGTGGTGGATTTAATTTTTGAAAACATTTCTTTAAAAGAATATAGAGCTGTTCCTGAAATGAAAATATTTTCTTCTTTGAGTAATTTGGCAAAAAATCAAATAAGCCTTCAATGTAAGGCATGATGTGAAAAGTTGGTTTAATATTGTTGTCTTGGAATAACTTGGAGATGGATTGATAATTGTTACTTTTATGATAGGAAAGTCTTTTATTGTAATGGAATTGATGAGGG